TCATTTTATTAAGAATAAGCTAATTTAAGCTACAAGTAAAATGCTATACTATTTACAACAAACTACTTTTCTAAAACTAATTCAGACTTACTCAGTTACTTTTCAGCACCTAAATGCGATCTGCTGCAGCAACTATTTCTCTCGTAAGAGTTTAAATTTGTATATACAAATTACTAGCTTTTAGTTAACAAGAGGCTGCTATCAGCCTACTAAAAATTCAATTTAGTTCTATCAGAATTATAATTTTAAATAGTACTAATACAAACTATAAATATTTTGACTACCTTATCAACTTCACTTAAATATTTAGTATTTTAAACTATTCAAAAGATCTAAAAATTTGGATCTTATAACAAAATCTACAGTAATTATATTATATTTTTTACATAATCTAAATTTTTGTCTTTTGTTTCTATTATATAACATACACTATTAGGCTATGTCATCTTCAGTGATAGAATATATAAAGTTAGTATCTGTTTAGATTTTAGTTGGATCTTGTGGTAGAGTTGGTTTAGTGATAAAATAGTTATTAGGTATCATTTTAAAAGTATAATATTTGCGTAAGAGGGTGACAATAGTAGTAATATTAGTGCTGAGATCACTTGTGTCGAGTGGAAAGAGTATGCGAACTGAGTGGTTGAGCTCATAATAGGTACTAGGTAGTTGGGGTTTGAAAAGAGAGAAGTCGAAATATGAGTCAGGTAGGTTGCCTTTGAAATTGTAAAAGTTATAGAGTTTGTTGTGGTAAAAGGAGAGATGGTTGAGGTTTTTTCATTTTGTAATTGGAAAGAAGTTTTTTAGTTCCTCATTGAGGTCTGTAGGATTGCTAGGAAGTGGGAGTAGTTTGATAAAGTAGCTGCTAGGTAATTATAAGAAAGAGTAGATTTTTCTAAGTGCCATGACTATTCCTTTAGTATTGTTATAGTTAGTAATTGGAAGTTCGAAAGGAAATAATCTTTGTATTTGTTCTGTTATTAAGGAAGGGTCTTCTGGTAATGGAATGAGTATAGATAGTTGGGCTTTGTTGATTGCTTGTTTGAGTTCATTCCATTCAATTTTGTCTAGTCGTATAAATCCTCTGCAGTATTGGATAATTTTGGCTATATGAAAGAGACTTAAGCATGTAAGGTTAGTGCTAAGCAAGTATTGAATAGCTATGTGGATTTT